TCTTATCCCTTAAACGAGCAATTCTTGTATATGTATGTATATATAATTGGAATCTCGAAAACGGCTCCAGTGATTTTCATGAAAATTAGTATGTAGATTCGGGGGCGAAAAATCGATCTGACTAGGTTTCATTTTTAGAAAATGTCGTTTTATCCTAGTTTTCAGGGAATGAAAAATATCATTCGAATCCTACCAACACACCGCACTCGCCGGCGAGTGCGGCAAACATATACTAGGCTCCGCCACGTACCTGGCAGGTTTTCCCCTATTAATGATAGAAGCGTTGCTGGAGTTTCTTTTTCTTCCGCCACTTCTTCTCCCAGCGCCAACGCTCTCCGAAGTGGTAGTAATGTTAGCTCTAGTAATTCCCCCAGTCAGATAATAGCTACCGATCGAGCCGAGGTCCGGCCCTCTCAGGCACCCTCGAATCGGAATGCTAAACGCGTGCTGAGTGACAGCCCAAGCCGAGGTCCCCTCTCGGGGACCCTTGAGCCTGATCACTCCATGGAGCGCCCGCCAAAGCGCCCTAAGAGCTTGGCGGCCTCCCAAACCGGTAACAATAATAGCGTGACGGCCCGAGCCGAGGCTCCCCCGGGAGCCCTCGAGCTTAGTCACCATAACGCGTAATAATAGTACGCAGAGGTTCAGGCTAGGCGCCTCGTGCGCCAGGCCACTTCAAGTCCGTCGGATCTGTAAAGGCCCCTAAGGCCAACAGTGGCTCATCCAGCCCAAAAAAAAAATCATTCGAATACGACGGTAAATTTCACCGAAAAAAACAAAGGTTATAATAGCTCGGTCGGTAATCAGGCGGCCGCTAACAAACAGCCACAAAACAGAAGGCCGTGGTTCGTATCACGATCATTTTTTACTTTTTACACACTTATTTTTTAACTTTTCGATTTTTTAACTTTCGATTCCAGATCATTTCTTCTATCATGCTTTCTTCATGCTTTCTTTATCTTTTATTTATCATGCTTTCTTTATCTTTTATTTTTTGTCGAGTTTTTATTATGTTATTTTTTTCCCTTTTTTTTTTTAACGTTCTTTCTTTTGTGAAAACCACCAGTTGATATTTTCTTATTATTACGTCGGTAAGGTCGAAACATATAATGCATATTTCATTACTTAGTAATTTGTATCTAAATGTAATTTCCAAAATACACGATTTACCAAAAAAAAAAACAAACCGAGCAAAGCTCCTCCAAAGGTCCTCCAGGTACTATTGAATTAAAGGCGAGGGCCCGGACACTGAGCTAGCATCGCTCACTGCATATTTTCGAAATAATAAGAAAAAAATATTTTTCGAGATATGTGAAGTCCACCAATCCGCACTGGGCCGCGTGGTGGACTATGCCCTGATACCCTCCGTATAGAGGAGGCCTTCGCCCAGCAGTGGGACATGTATAGGCTGTTACTTTACTTTTTAATTAAGCAAAACTTTCGCTGCTTCTCTCATCATCCGTACAGCTAAGGAATGAAACAACCTGCCGGCGCCGTCTTTCCATCCGATAACAAAGTTGGCGTCTTCAAAGCAAAGCAAGAGTGAATAGGTTTTTACTGAGCTAGCACGCTTACCATCAGAGGCTGCATCGCCACTTACCGTCGGGAGGGATGGCAGCCAAGCACTGGCCAGTTTGCCGATAAAAAAAATAGGCCAAGTGCGAGTCGGACTCCCGCACGAAGGGTTCTGTTATCAATTAAAAAGGGAAAAAACTGATGTATGTTGTATGGGAGCCCCACTTTTATTCTGTTACAATATTATTTTATTCTGTTTTTTAGCTATATTTGTTGTTATAGCTGGAACAGAAATACATCATCTGTGAAAACTTCAACTGTTTAACTAACATGGTTCATAAGATACAGGCTGGTGACAGACGGACAGACGAACAGACAGACTGAGATATAGACAGACAGTAAGAAGGTCCCTTTTTACCCTTTGGTTACGGAACCATAAAAAAGACAGTAACTATAAATAAATTCAGAAGACTAAGCTGTGCTTTAAAACTGTGCTGTATGTAAACCAAATCAGATATTGGCAATAAATGTGCTGTAATTTAATAATTTTATTGATTTGTTAATTAAATTCTATAAGTTTTATATATTAGGATTTTAATAATTTCATTGTTGTACTTCATAATTTTTTTATATAAAATATATCGACAAATAACAAACAAGAATGAACTAACATTTTTAAATGCTTTTTTAAAGCTTGAATTAAAAATACGTAATAATTAAAAAAAAGTTTCTTATTTTTTTGTTTACTACACAGTTGGAGCTTTGCCCATTAGGAACATCCTCGCATATTAGATAATTGATATTAATGCTCACTAGGAAATGTTCGTATCCAATTGGGTTCTATTAAAATTAGAGGTATATATTAATTGAAAGTAATCTTTACATAATATAAAACAAAGTCGCTTCCGATGTTTATACGCTTAGTTCTTTTAAACGACGCAACGGATTTAAATGCGGTTTTCAGCAAGTTTATATAAATACTAGCTGACCTGGCTGTTTTGCCATATAAATTATTTGTAGGGTAGAAAAAAATGTTTGGGGTGGACCAAACTTATCATTTAGGGGGTTGTAAAATAGATTTTGTCCGATTCTCCACTCTGGCCTATATGCACACAAAATTTTAAAAAAATCGGTCGAGCCGTTTCGGAGGAGTTCAATTACACACGAGAACACCGTGACACGAGAATTAGACATAAATATTTCACGAAACATTATTACACAAAGTTTTCTAGTTCCAAATTAAGCAACGCTTGTACTATGGATACTAGATAATTTATAGATATAATTAAACATACTTTTTTTTAAAATAAATACATATTATATATATATAGACACGCAGACACTGGAAAACACTATGTTCATCATACAATATATTTCCAGTAGTGGGGATCGAACCCATACCCTCTGGCGCAAGAGGCACGGTCACACACCCACAACGCCAATCGGGTCGTCAAATTATAGTAGAGAAAAGCTGAGAAATTTGATATCTACATTGCATCCGTGCGAAGCCGGGGCTGATACTAGCGACGCGTGATATAATTTTCATGGGTTTGCAATTCGTAATTAATATTTAAGTAGTTTTACACCCGGATTATTGAAGTTTGTGATTTTTATCACAGTAAAACAATGTTTGTTTTGGATACTAGCCCAATTTTCAAAAGATTGTCAACGCATCTGTAACCCTCGGGCGTGGCAGATGTCCATGGGTGGCGGTATTCACTTAATATCAGATGAACCGCCTGCTCGTTTGACAACTTTTCGCATAAAAAAGAAAAAAAAATATTAGATATATCACTATTCAAATTTTCATCCCGTCCGATTAACCGTTAGGTGTGAGAAAGCACACAAACATCGACATACTTAGATCATTTACCAGTACAACATGTACTAAATACAGGCCACCCGTATGTATTCATGTAAGGGTTTTTTTACACATTTCAGTGTATTTCGCACAGCCCATAATTCTTCGTGGACTGTCCGCGTCACACCTGTGTCCTCAATACGGCTGAAGCGAACGGCCAAGCGTATTTGGGGCGGTGGTCTAAGAAAAGGAAATTGATTACAGAAAAATCGCGCTTCCCGACCCACTTTTCGCGCGCACTATTTGGGAACGCGATGTTTCGCAGATGCACTCTCCAATTGAATCATTATCGTTGAGCGACGTCGTAGTTATTTACCGGAACAATAACTGAGGAAGTGCTATTGCATTGATAATATTAATTTCAATTTTCTCTGAAGAGTTGCAACGGAATAGTTGCGTATTCGTTACACTTTCCCCTTCTCTACTCTTTAGATATTATATATCAGTATATATCTCATGCAATACGTCTTTGCATTTAGTGTCAGTTTTCCATTAAAATTCCATCGCCATTGCGAGTTATAGTTAGTAGTTCTTGAGTACTGGGTATCAATGTCATATACAATTCTCTTAAACTCATTCCCCCCGGTACGTTTCCATCGAACAGGGCTTCGCTCACCTAACGGCAAACGGCATTTGCGCCGATCGATGGCGGACCCTTATGCGAGCGGATCGATGGGAAGCGCATATCGTGACCCAGTTATCGGCTGCCATCTATTTCGGAAAAGAGCACGGAGCGGCTGCATATACCGGCCATAGTGACCCGGATTCCCCTCGCAACGTCTACGCAACGCTTATTTTTATTGAAAACACAGAATGCACATCTGGTGGATGGATCCGGTGGTGCCTTTGCCTCGCTGTTGCTTTTTTAAATTACACTGCGTTTATGCATGAGAAGTTTATCTATTGACGGTTGAACAATGATAGAATAGCAACCGCTATAGTTTTGACAGGTAAACAACATCAGGAAGGATTTTCTTAGTCCCTTCATTCCTGAAATATCCCTATATATAGAAATAATTCCTAAAGGAATGCCAGTGAGAAGACCGTTTACGAATCAGTAGAATGTGTGAATCGTTCACGAACTTACTTCAGTCGCCATTTGAATATAATCAATATGCGACTAGAAAAATCCACTTATTACCTTGTTATATTTTTATATGCTAACTCACGTTTATGATTTTCGGCACTATACTACAATCATTGAGATCACAATATAAATGTCACGGTCGTATATTTGCAATTTTTGGTACTTTTGAATGCCAACGTTTTTTTCCTCGCCGCCAATGTTTACCCCATTAGCGTTTAGAATGTTAATTGTTCTCGCGGTCATAGACATCGGCGACGCAACGCGCCACAAACGGAACACGTGCGGTCCGGCCGTGATTAAGTCGAATCGAATTAAGCTCGGAAATCGAGCTTTGAGTGTTTCCACCACTCGAAAGCTGTCAGCGCGTTCCGATTGCTGTATTGTCTCCATTAATCGAGACAGGTGGACAATTGATCGGTGGCGTAGCGGGCCCCGTGAACGGGGAACCGTCGGAAACCGTTACGCAATGCATTTTTTAGGGTCCGCCGCCGCGCCGGGCGAGTCGGCCGGGTGGCAGTCAGCGCTTTTCAGAAATTACAGGGCTACGGGGTGGCGAGGGGGCCGGCGATATGACGTTCGATTTAAAGGGTAGCCCGGGGGCGGGTGGGGGCCCGGGCTGGCTGCAGGGCTGTTGACGGGCGGCCCGCGCTTGCGCACGGCGGCCGCCGCGCCGCCGCCCGATTTCCGCACGAGCGTTGACAGTTCTTCGGGGCCTACTTCCTCGATACCGCGTGTCCGGCGCTGCGTAGCGGGCCACGTCAGCACGCCCCTGCCCTAGCCGCGAGACGCCGATGGGCCGGCGGCAGCCTTGATTCCACGTAAGTACCGAACGCCGTCCGCAGCCCGCGACTGCGACTGGGGTCCACTGTCCATTTCGTGTCCACTGTGCACCGACTTCGGGCAATTAGCGCGATTTTGTCCAGCCGTTTCCGCGTCCGTCGTTTCTGTTTATGTAACCGTTCCGTTATTTTCGTTTTTGTTCTGTGCGATTTAGTTGCGTTGGAAAAAAAAATTACGATCGTCGATTCGACTTGCGATTTAATTATTTTAATAATTTTTTTTGTTACTCTTTTAATTACATTATTATGCTGCCTGTAGTTCATTGTGAAGCGCTAATCACTGGTTTATTATTTAATTATAAAATTTTGAGATTCCAGCGTGTGTATTCATGGAGTATTTTTAATTTTTTTCCACTGAGTGCAACGTGATTAAAACGTCTTTGTTCTATCAAATAAAATGAATTATACGTTTAATTTTTTCTATGTAATTTGATATGGTATTTATTTTTCATTCGTGTAAACAGATCTTATTAATTAGGCCAGTTCGATAGTCGCAATAATGTTTTATAATGAATTGACAATACGTGTGACTTGAAGCAACGGTAACTATTTTCCGCACCACACTTCCGCAATTATTTAATCGCTAAAATTAATTCTGTAAACATTGTTTACATGTAAAATATTTTTTCTCGGCCAATTTGTTCGTCCGCCGGTTGATTTAAGGACAAATAAAATTATTATTAAAAACGTCCCATACGGAAATTTGGTTTTTAAATAAGTTTAATTTGAATAAATACACTGCCCGTTGTGGCCAAGTGCGACTATTTATCAAGTCAGATGCAGGAGGTTGGCATTGAGCGGTGTAGGTCTACGCATGCGCAAATATTTATCCAGATGCGGCCGTTGTCGAGCCGAAAGGCGCTTCGCTAGCGTTGTTGATATTTTTTTCGAATTTGGAAAAATCAAGACAATGACATTTTGCATTCCTGGTCCACGGCATGGTTTTTTGGGTAAAATACCTCCCGTAAAAGTTACTGGCCGTTACCTATAAACTTTAAAGTAGCTGTCGTTTTCGCTTTGGATTATAAAATTTGCTGGCATATGCCTTTTATGTATATCAAAATCATAAATTTTGTTTTAAAGCAGTATTCATATTTATATTAGAATCATTAAGTGTTTTCCCTTTTTATATAGTAGTAGTGTAATATTATTTATCTTTAACAATAAGTAGAGTATCAGTTAGTCGCGGTTAGCTAGCGCAAGATTTTTCATTTTTGAGTTGCATGGGAAGCGACGATAAACATTAAACAGATTTTTGTTCTTACTTGATGTGCATATTAGACATTTTGAAGTAAAAAAAAAACCTTCACCTGGACTAACCTTGACGTCCATTTCATAAAAATCGCTTGAATAGTTCCAAGCATTACCATTAACAATATAAACAAATTAGATCTCTTATTATTGTAACGTTTCGCCGCGGCTCTGCGCGGGTAGTCAATCTAGGATACGTCAAATTTTTGAATCATAATCATCGAATGTGAATAATTTTGAAGCAACGTATTTCTATTATTTTATAATTTAATGCGAGTGAAAATGCTGATATTCAAATTTGACGATACCGAAAGCAAAATATGCTTACCTTCCGACTTGATCAACCGTTGTTGAGATTTCTAATTGGAGATTTGTTGGCCTTTTAGAGACAAATTTTGAAAGTGAATCACTGGTTTCCGAGATTTCATCTACGATACACTAGGAAAGACAAATATATCTCTTTATAAGGATATATGTGATAGAGTATCTATAGTATCTAAAGCTTTTTTTCTAACTTAGTTACTGAATTTGATGTCGAAATGTCTAATATCGAGTTTTGAATAAATGGTTAAATCACTTGGCATGGCTACAGGTGAGCAAGAAGCGTCCCAATAACGATCTCAACAACAATCTGTTTATACCACCAATAAAGTGCCAAACAACCCGCCTTAGAAACAACTTAAATGTATTCTGACCGCGAATGCCAAGTTTTGAATCAAGGATTTATTGGTTGTGTGATGAATAACTTAATGTTTCCATCTATTGGGATATGACTGACGTGACAAAACTTTCTACTTCGAGATATAACAATTCTTACAATTTAAAATTATTTTTAAGTTTTTCGAATTTAAGTTAATATATCACTTTTGTCTTTTGCTCGATTGAGTGCATTTTTAGATTTCTTAATTTTAAAAGTTGTTGAAACGCATTTTTCCTTAAATTTTTATTATTTTCATTATTTACAAATAAAATCCACCGCATCTCTTTTTCATGTTTCTCCGACTGAGAATTAACTTTTGATTTATCAAAATCCTTTTATTATTTATGAATATTGTAATCTTTTGAAGTTTAGTGTACGAAACGTCGTCATCATAATTCTGCCTCAGTTTTAGACCAAGTTTTATGTTAGCATTATAATAATAAAAACATAATATAGAGGTTTTCGTTAAGTATTATTACAAGGTAACGCGAAGTAAAAACATAAAATGTTAATGACTGAATCGATAGATATATCCAAATGTATAATGAACAAAGTAAAAAGCATTAGAAAAACACATATATACCGATATAACGAATTTTGTATTGATAAATTGCCGTGATGCAGTAGTGTTGTACTCACACGATAAGTGATTAGATAACATAATAAGAATTTTGTAAGCACCGGCGTACAGGTGGATAGATTCGGTGGAAAAAACCTTAGCCATTTTACGTGTGTACTTTCCAAATTAAATAGTTTTTTTATTCTTTTTTTATTATATTATTCAGAATTTTACATCTGGCTTCAGTGGGGCTTAACAAAGAGAGTAGAAGATATTTGGGTAAAATCCAAGCTGGTTCAAAGGATTGAGGAATTTTTAGTAAATGTGTTAAAAATGGAAATTTATTAGTTTACTAGCACATAATTATAATGAATAGAAATATTAACACACCGACAAAGGACGACGCATGTTACATATGACCTTCTTCTTGTTTTCTATATATGTGGATAATGTTTTAATTTACCAGCCAAAGGGTAAATTACCCCATTACTAAGACTGTCACCATCTCAGAAACCGTGATAGTTAGACAGTTGAAATTTTCACATATGATGTATTTCTGTTGCCACTATAACAACAAATGTGTGTTCTCTTCGTGTGCGAGTCCGACTCGTACTTGGCCGGTTTTAATTGAGATACATAACATCTCATTGGAGTTTTTGAGCGCAAGTTAATATGCACATGCTACATGATGAAATCTACGTCATAGAAAGAAAATATATACAAGAATACATCACAATTATAGCGAAAAAGGTATCGAGGGTAGCGAGACTTTCATATCCGATTTAAAAATAAAACTAGTCACAAAACATTCAAAATAGTACCTATTTATAGCGAAACATCAGACTGTTTTTCTAATGGTGTCGACTATTTGTTTAGTGTAGCAAATATATTTAGAACTTTGCAAATAGATCAAACCGAACTTTTAGATAGAATTAAAATGAAACGAGCGTTTATATTTTTTTAGCAAGTATGTAACTTTTGTGTTCTATATTTAGCAGCATCGAATTTCTTTGAATCTGTTACGTTTATTACGTAGTATATTTTACGATGAAACAAACGCTTTTGGTTAGGAAGGATAATGAAGGTTCAATATCTACAAAAATCGTAATTAGTGCTAAAAATCTATCAATGGAATGGGTCGTCACAAAACGATATGATTTAGATATTCGCATAAATTACATAAAAATCAGTAATATTTATCATCATATTATCAGTATAAAAAATAATGAATTCACTTAATGGGACTTGATCAGGTTTCGACATTGACTTTCGGTCGGTAAAATTACTATTTGCATATAAAAAAAAAAAAAAAACTAAAATAATATGGTACCAGACTGGAGTTCTACGTATGCAAATTGGAATTGGCGACCTTGTAAGGACCAGTTTGTGTATTATGATTATACTTTACACAATGAAATAGGATTGGTCAATTGAAGTTATTCTACTGATCGCGAAGCGTCTCCGCTTTATGTTGTCGTTGGAAATGTTCAAGTGTTACGGATTAATGTTCTAGAATAGCTTCATTCAGCAGTAATATTAAGTTATCTATGTATGTGTTGTAAACCTTGGTTTGAATTATTCATCATTATAATACGATTCACGCGTCAAATAGAGGAAACAAAAACGAAATGAATTCAAGGTGGATTTTGAATTAATTGAAAAATTTAGAACTGATTTAAATTGTGAAGTCGAATACTTAGCTGCTAATTATTATTTCTGACAAAAGTTTTCTCGCAAGTTAAAACTATCGTCTAGAAGCTGCCGCAGCCGGTGACATTATAAACATAAATATCTCGTGAACGTAAATATCGACATTATAAACGTAGCTATCCGCCGTAAATTTAACATGTAATCTTTGTTCAGTTACTGCCACTGCGTTACTAAGATTGAATCCCACCAAATCTTTGCATCGGGAAATGACGCTAGGCAAAATATGCCGTGAATCAGCGTTGCGTCATCTGCGGATGCCATTATAACATACACATACCCCTCATTGAATTCTTAATTTACTATCAACTATTTCGAGACGCGTAAAAAATGGCCGTTCAATTGGTACGAAATGCCATTCTGGAATAGTGGGAAACGTAATATAGACAACTGATTTGTCAATAGCGCCTGGATCATTTACAACAAGTAATGATAGCTGAAGTCTAAATATTTGGCAATAGACAGTAATGTTTGCAACAAGGGTATATCGAATAAATTTCATTGAGACCTCCTAATCGCTTTCAGTCAGTTCTCTCTTACTCAGGACCAACACGAAACTATATTCAACAATATATAACAATCGGTGGGATCAAATCATTTATCGAAAGATTCACAAACATCCTGTATTCTAATTCTGAAACGTTATCATAGTTCACGTGGCCTTGCTAGCGTTGATAAGGAAACAGAGTCTGTATTGAATTTTGTTATTGTTCTTTTCGAACGCTGCACATTTAATGAAGCCGTGTTTGTTTAAGGAACTAATGTTTGGTTGTCCAAGGTCCCTCGTTACCGCTTCCAATTGTGCATTCATCGGTGATTGGTGACCGTCGATTGAATTTATTATATTGCATTCGACAGACCAAGTCGCAATCAATCTTTGATACCTTTTTTTAATTCTCATTCGCATCCTGCAGTTTTGTACGTCTTTATTGTATAGAAAAGCATGGACGCAAGAATGTAATGTGAATAAAGCTAAAAATGCGATTTGTTACGGTTTATTGTATAGTTAATTGAACAATAAACGCAATCCTATTGATATTTATGATTAAAATTGTTTATCAATTGTTAATGAAGCGAAAGTTAATTCAATAACTTTAATTATAATATCGATTCCTATTAGTACAGTAGGCTGTCTAATTGTTTACCAATACGTTACTATAAACGATGATTTTTTTTATATAATTGATAAACGATACTACCGAATACACGAATAGGTTTATCTCTTTTTGTTCCATGTTTACGTTACATATACACTAAGAATTTCGAAGTGTGTTCGCGCCATTAATCGTAGCCTTTTCAGGGCTAATGACTTGCTAACGTACATTCACTCAAATCTAGATCACAGATCGTTACGCAATTTGCTCTTGAACTTACGCTATTTTATTCACATTATATAATTAGAGAAACTATAATCGTTTATTGGGCCGCCCCATACCTGCTCCCTGGTCAGCGTTCTGGGAAAACGTAGGCTTGTTTACACGTCCGCAAATATACATACGTGCGTATTACACACATTTGAGTAAATGCGATACTCTTTAGTAGCAGTTTTACACGGGTTTTCTCTTTACGCTACGCCCAGTAGATGGTTTTTATTATTTCAAGAGATTTTTAAATATCTATCCCTCAACTGACTAAATATTCAAAGGAATAACAGATTTCGCAGCGCTTTTCGACAGTTCTTCGATAGTTCTAATCAATGGAAGTAGATAACTTTGAGATGGCGATGTATAATCCGCTCGGGGTATACCAAGATCTTGCATAATTAATGTTAGCAAGCACCCGCCATTAGAAGAATTTACTTTAAGCCAGAATTTTGTTTGTTTGATACTATAACGAAAACACAACTTGATAGCTAGAAAGAGCTTTCAACACTAGGTGTATCAGAATTTCTATTGTAGCAACCAACTATAAACCTGATATATAGAATATAATAATGACGTAAATAAATGTTTTTGCTTTACACCGCTCAATAATTAAAAGAAAACCAACTTTCGTCAAGAGACTACGCCGTCTCTCTTTATACTTTTATTTTCTAAAAGATTTAAAAAATATTAATATTACTCATACATTTTTATTATTTATAACAAAATTTTGTAAGACAAAAAAATCAATATTTATACATATCACGGTTTTAATATCTATTTGACGGTTTTAATATCTACAATCAAATGTGATTTTCTAAAGATTCCTTGAATGAACATCAATGGCCTTGAGTTCCTGGTCCATACAATCAGAGATAATGGTCGCATCATGAATGTTATCTCCTGGGGCCGACTAGGTCGGGCAATTACACCAGAAGGTGTATATAACACCGCCGCAGATATTCAATCATTTTCACAATTTTCTCCCGTCGTCCAGGAAACTTCGTAGGCTCAATGGAGTTTAATAGGAGTTTAATAATAATAATTTGTAGGCGTTAGCGCGTAGATAAGTACGCGTTGGTACTCCGCAGGGCGTGTGCAGAGCGTAGCGCATGCATCGTCGAGAGGGGGGGGGGGGGGGGGGGGGCAGGGGCACCTATACCCGTCGTCGTTTTTTCTCCTCCATTCTGCGTGCGTCTTTTTTTGGCAGCGCGCGCTAACCTTGGACTTTTTCACAGTGGAGCGCTGCACGTACGCGCAAGTTTCGGATAGTCGTAGAGCGTCCCCCACTCGGCGCGTCCGAATTTTCTGCATTCGGACGGCGCGAGGAGTTTTCGGCGGTCGCATTCGCGAGCGGGGCTCCCGTCGGTTAGGCGCGACGCGGCTGGTACTGTGTAACGCGACGCGGCGCAAACGCGCGCCGCAACATGCGGAAGTGAGGACAGCGGAGCGCTGCCAGTGTTACAACAGTGATACGCAGTGAACGAACACTCAGTGGTACGGAACTATGGTATTTGTGAGCGGCCCGCTGTTGGTGCGCTAGTCGATTGATGGTTACCCATTGACGCTGCACGTTCGTACATTTGGACTGTGGAATTACCGGACATTCATGGAATCGAGGAAAGTATTGTTGCCTTTTTCACCGGCCGGCGGTGCGGACGGTGTTGCGTTGCGAATTTTTCCCTCTACGCAGCACCGTGACGCGTTGTGGTTAGGCGGAAGCGTATCGGGTGGGCCTCATCTGTAAGTCAATCTGGGCTTTAGAGGAGAACCCGATGTAGGCAGTCATTGATGAATTTGTGTTGACAGGATTACGGCATGCGATAAATTTTAAACACCGCCGTGCGTACTGCATACTGTGCCTTATGGACGCTAATGGAGAGGATATTTTCGCGCACGCCCCCACCGTCTCCCAGGTTTTGCATACACGTGCTGTCGCGTTGGGGCTATTGAACTTGATAATGAGACAACCGCTATTTCCTATTTTTTGCGCACTCATATTGCATCACTATATTTTTTCCTCTCGCTCCCAAACGGACCGGTTTCGGAGGATCTTACTATAACCGTCATTACTACGCCAACACCGGGTGATGAGTGGGTTACCGTCAGCTTAATGAGCCCCCCGTGTCGAGCGGGGTCCGCTTTGTCCATCCTTTCTTGTAAAGCTTGCTATTAATGATTCGCCCGAGAAATCCAGTTTAGCGGCATGCTCTCTGTCGTAGCTAGGGGCGTGAATAGACCGCTTTTGGGCCCGGAACCGCTCCGTGAGGCGAGAACTGGTCCCGCGTCATTAACATTTGCATAGAAACTGTCAAGGCGGCTCGCGGTCGCCGATTAGCACCTACCAGTGTCGTCCAAACTCGAAACTAATCGTGTGGTCGCAACGGCCTCGCATTTAACTCGCCTGAACTATCTGAATTTGCACAGTTCACTATAGGAAACTAAACTGGCTAGTACGACGTTAGCACTATTATTAGTGGCCGTCTTCCGCGAGAATGTATTCTCAGCGAGTTATTTTTTCCCTCGAATGGTTTATTTTCCCCGCTCGCTGCACATCCGAATAACATTTTCAAACGGCTCCCAGCTCGTACTATTATGTTCAGGGCTGACTCGAAGGTTAAGGCTGATCGTTTCGTGCAGTGACGTTTGTTACGTTACTTTCAACGCAACGATTCACCGGGCGGTTCGGAAATGCCGCGAGAATTTATTTGTTCCAGTTTCTCAGACGGCCTCCGAACGATAGCGATGCTTTAAAGGCGGTTTCGTTCCCAGTTCACAGAGGGACAGTTGCCAAGCGATTTTTCTATTTTCGCTGCTCGAAGGTCCGAGTTGCTGCGGCTATTTCAAATTTTTTCGCGTCTAAGACCGCTGTTCGTTGTAACAGAGTCAAATTGGTCATTAAAACAATGAAACGCTGACCCTGTCAAGAGGACGTTGTTGAAAATATTCTTTTTCTCAATCAATAGATCACGGTTCGGGTCTATTTCAAATTATCAAGCTCCTCGCCAGTGCCTGCAACGATAATTGAATTCGTGTATTTGCCGAGTCTATTTGGCTGGGCTTCGCAAATTAAATTAAATAATACTAGTTAAGTGATAATTGAGGGCCCTGATCGAATTTTAGTTTTACAGATTTTGTCTCTACACACTATATTTGGCATTTGTTTCTCCTGCTAAACAAAGAAAAGTTTAGTTTTGTGAAAAAAAAAAACTGAACTAAATGTAAATGTAAATGCAAAGTTTCTAAGTGGAATCAGGTCTAGGTAAAAATGAGGTCGAATTCAAAATAATTTCGCTATCAGCGCGAATACTGGCTTTAAAAATTAAAAATATAAATACTTAGATCAAAACTTCCAAATTTATTGTTAGAAGTATTGTGAATTTATATTTTTTTGTTTGCTTAAATTATTTTGGTCTTGTTTTAAACCAAATAAATAATACAAACGTAGTAAAACGGTTTTGTAGAAGATATCTAAGAGCAATGGGTTGAAATAAATCTGGCTTCAGTGTATCAGGTTTTTATATTGGATTTTACTGTATAATAGAGCTAGTATGTACTTATCACGATTTGTCTTTGCAATGCAAGATAACCTTATATTTAGTCGGCCTACCGCAAAGATAAGGGTTTGATTAGACGAATGTAGTAAAAATAATGAAACTCTGTTATCTTGGCATGCACGAAATAAAATGTCAGTTTGGCTGAATGAATATTATAAACGATGACATTTTTAATAGTTACATACATAAAAATGTTATAATATTCTTCAATTTATATTCTGTATTGGACTTGTTCTTAGTTAGATTTCACGATGTCCCATCAAATATTTTACTTTCAGAAGAAACAAGTATTTGTTAATTTTTAGTTATGTAAATTCTTGTCTAATTTAACTTGACGTTTTATGTCAGGTATTATTTTTGAATTCGTAGTCATCCTTTAATATGTTATCGTAGATGTTAATATAAAACATATTCTATAAAAGAGATCTTTTATAGAATATGTTTTATATTAACATTTTTTCGCTAAATCATTTTGTTTGCACTTAGCGCACGGTTATTTCTGAGTTGTAAAACAACTCGCTAATTGATTCACATTTGTCAGAGACTTTGTTGCTAGTTTGGAAATTCGAGAAAATTTTTATTTCATCACCATCATCGATAGCTGTTTTATATATTTTATTCGAATTAATTATGACAGTTACAGATAAATATTGTTATAACTGCAATTATGTATACATTTTTTTCAAGTTTGGCCTCCCAATAGTTTAAGAAACTTAATCATTGCATTAAAACCCTAAAGAAATTCAATCAAATACATCCCCTAAGTGCAGAGATTAGGACTATATGACTTAAAGCTGTTTTTTTTATTATTTCTTAGCTAAATAATAAAAATTCATAAAGCAAGCCTCACTCGGGCTGAACAAGTTACATGATGGGAAAATATAAAATAGCGAACAGCGCTATAAAGCCTACAGAAACGATCGCCTACGCGCTATTCCTAGTAATGTTTCCGAAATATTTTAATTTCCGAACTGTGCTGCGTCTAGGCTCCTTCCCAGCTGGGGAGGGGAGGGGGGGGGGGGGGGGGGGGCCCGAGAGGGGCCCTGAGGGTGAGGAGGGCCAAGGACAGCCTCTCGGAGGACCTTCAAGGCGCGACGATTACGTAACCAAGGCCACGGCGCCTCCAATGCGTGCGCGTGCAACGTTATATGTATTCGCTACCTAACAAAGATTAACATAAAACACTTTATTTATGGACACGCGGGAGGAGTTCAAGCGAAATCTTTCTTTGTACGCCTCACTTGTATATTAAACGTGTTTTTATTGCATTGGTGCAATAAATATACTTAAGAGAGTTCTGTATTGCTGTCATATACGTCCCACGATTCATTACGACGAAGAGTTTACGCTGGAAACACTGAACAGTTCAAATCTCGTACGTACGTATACGTCGGTTATTTCCGAATCCCACATACGAAAGAGGATAATGACCAAAATAGTATTATGTGACACATAAGTTAATCGGAGCTTTAATACTTTGGTTAAACGAAAAAGTGAGTTACGAATTCAGACTTTGGAGAGGAACAGAAATTGTTACGTATATATAAGTCTGAAAAAAATTGCCGTCAAATCACAAATTAGAATAAATAGTAAAATAGTAATAATAAGATAAAGAATTTGAATTGTGACACTAAAGGGGGTAATATTTTGGATTAGAGTGTTTGTTTTTCAATCTAAATCCTAATTCTAAAAAATTCCTATAAAAAATTGAATTCAGCCACTAAGGGGCCAATATACTGAAATTAGTATGTTTGCTTTGAATCTAACTTAACAATTTTTAGTGTAAAAGTTAGTACCATAGTCTAATAACTATTATTGGCAGTAATCGCTAGTAATATTTTCATTTTTGCACCTTTAAAGTGTTGTCTTCTTATTTTTAAGTTTATTCCTTCTGATTTTTAAGGGATGAAGGACGTAGCTTTCATAATATTAGACTGCCGACTCTATATACTTTGGACTAGTGCCAACTTAGCCCCCGGCTTTTCTCCAACTTTCACTTCGATCTTAGAAATAGCACGTCTTATCCTTTCGGTACAAGTTCCGAGTTAGTAATATATGGCTATTTTCTGCTGAGCCAGAAGCCAAATCTCCTGGCCTTTTAGTTTTGACGGTGTCACTTTTGGTAAAGGAGAATGAAACTGTCTTTTTTTTTAAATACTGTGATTGTTGATAACTGAAAAACTGACCGACGAAAAACTTGGTTCAAAATTAATTCTAGATGCTTTGATAACTTCCTTCTTATTAAATGCCTTCAATTTTCTCTTTATATGTTTGTAGATACGAAGCGAAATTCTCAAAAGGGTTGTAGATTTTTGTAGATATTTCTTCGTTCAAACGCAAATTTTGAAGACAACCTACTCGCGGATTTTGGAATTGTCATTATGTTAAAGATAAAAGAAATGTTTCTTTTAGATATGATGTTGAGTTAGTACTGCCGCAATATCAAGATCCACGTATCCGTAATCGTATCGATAAAAACGAGTTACAAGCGAGCTGTTGAAAAAAAAAAAAAAAGGGTCAAAGGGCACCTTGGGGACGGGCTGGTTCCGCGTGGGGCGACCTGGGATAATGCAACGTCGGACCTCGGCGATAGAATTCGATCCTTGACCCAAATTCACACAAAAACGCGGAGAACCAGTCAGCGGTACTGTACCGTGTCCCACACAGGTTAGATTACACATTTCGCCTTATTATTTCAAGTGGTGTGCGTAACAAAACCTTTTCCTGGCACAGTACAGATGTTTAAAAAAGTTTAGATGTTTCTGTTGTATGTCATTTATGTAAAACTAGCTGCTGCCCGCGACTACGTCTGCGTGGAATAGGCTGAAGGCGTAATATTCAGACAGAAAGACAGATATACATAAAATATTTTTTTTTTTTTTTAATTTTTTTTATTTTTTTTTTTTTTTTTTTTAAAAAAAAAAACATTGCCCTCACTAGGACGTTTTACAAACATAAATTCAGACATCTGTGGGTCGCACAAATAGTTGTACCGTGTGGGAATCGAACCCACGACCCCCGACGCCGAAGCCAATACCTTGGCAAATGCACCACGGAGTCATCAAATATGTATATAAATTATAAAATATAAATTATAGCTTATGTCTTATTATGATATATAAGCTATATTTATTGTAAAGTTTCATTAAAATCCATTCAGTAGTATTTGCGTGAAAGAGTAACAAACATCCATCCATACATACAAACTTTCGCCTTTATAATATTAGTAAGGATAAAGTAAGGATAAAATGGCAAAAGAGAAGACAGATATTTTAAACCTTTCAGATTCTCACTATTTATTTTTAGGTAAAGTTACTCCATAAAAGTTATGTAGAATCCTTCCAGAGTAAAGATAAAAGTACACAAAGACTTCTTTTTTAGGGTTCCGTACTTAAAGGGTTAACCGGGACCCTATTACTAAGACTCCGCTGTCTGACTGTCTGTCCCTCTGTCAACAGGCTGTATCTCATGAACCGCTATAGTTAGACAGTTGAAATTTTCGTAGATGACGTATTTCAATTGCCGCTATAACAACAAACAAAACAAAAAACTAAAAAAAGAAATGAAAAAGGAAAGAATTTTTGGCCGTTTTTATAGAGAATGGTACGGAACTCTTCGTGCCCGAGTCCGACTCGCACTTGGCCAGTTTTTTTAACTTGTGTTTCTAAGATTCTTCATCATTTGCATCAGGCGATGAAAATTAAGGAGCTCATATTTATTAAGAAACTATGAAAGTTACGAAATATACATGTAACAAACTGATTATGTTATCAATATCAATAATCGATTTTATTAATTTTTTAAGGAAACTTCAAATATTCGATTGCATAAATCATTGTATAACGTACACACGTCATAAGCATGTTTGATTCATAATAACTCAGGAATATTGAAATGGATTATTTTTGGTGACATATGTAAACAGTCATCAGTAAAAGTCGCTTGCTAGAAGACTATTTTCAGAACTGTGTATTGATCTCTATAAAATGTTTGAATTAAAAATAACGATTTCGTAACTTATCGTTTGGCCTTTTACGTAAACTAAAAACAAAGGAAGATTTAGTATATTGTGACAGAAACGAATGCTAACCTGCTCTTGAATAAATAATGAATTTGCGAGTTTTGAATTGTTAATTTCGCTAATCGCAAGAATATTTTATACTGAAAACGTCGTTGGCCAGTCAAGTTTGTGATCCCGTTTGTTATTCTGTTCTCTTTTCCAAACAAGTTACGGGCTGTTATCGCATGGAAAAAATAAACAGATGTTCAAGAGTAAAATTGAAATAACGGCTGTATTAGAGATTTTACACACTTAAGAACTCATAATTGTAAAATTTCGACTATTTAAAACCTGAAATATGGAGGCGCGGGTCAGTTTTTGCGATCTCCTCACTAACAGCCTAAAAGTTCATGTATGGTAATTTTTTTTTCTTGATTACCTTATCTAATATATAAAATTCTCGTGTCACGGTGTTTGTAATTGAACTCGTCCGAAACGGCTCCACCAATTTTCGTGAAGTTTTGTGTGGATATCGGCCAGGGTAGAGAAGGGTGGTCTACCTCAAACATTTATTTATTTAAATGGCATAACAACGTTTGCCGGGTCAGCTAGTATTTTTATAATATATAGTACAACTTTAACCAAAGTTTCTGACGTTCTTGTGTTAGCATTAAATAAGAAAAACGGATGCCATTGACTACTGTCAACGTCGTTTGACGTATTTTTCAGTCAAATGAGGTATTTTTTTAAGAACTGAATTGTACTCGATTACTTGGTTTTTGACGTTGACTCAGGAAAAGCCTATACAATCTGAATTGAATAATACTCATGTCATATTTGGGTGTATGATAATATATTCTTTACTTTACTTTAGGTAAATGCTTCAACTTTTTAACTGTGTATATTGCATACAACAAGCGACGGAGAAAATCTACTGAAATGTTCCGTCCTTTGATCCGGTTGACCCAAAATTAAATAGAGAACACACAAATAAAGATTGCTTCTTAATCCTTGAATTAAAAGAAACAATCAAAAAAGAGAAGTGAATGGAATGAATCGTACGAGAAAACATAGAAACTATAAAACAAGAGATGAAATATAGTCGATTAGAGTCAACATTACCTGTGTAACGGAAATGCTGCGCAAACGTGCACACAAACAGATGCGTGCTGTACCGCCTTTCACTAAGCTGCAATTGAAAGCAAACCTTACGCAACGCGCTGCAACATGATATTAGAAACTCGCATCTGCATTGGAAGTGGTGTAGATGTCACATTATATAACGACTAGATGACATCTCTAGCGCTTCATATTCTATTGTCGAAGGAATTGCTTAGCAGGAGGTTTACGGTGGTAGAGCCACAGCCTCGGCTGTTGCACGAACGGACAGACTCGTCCGGGTAAGTACACGAACTCATAGAAGACCGGCATAAAGTGGAAGTATGAGAAATACTTTCGCGTTTCGTCTGGTGAGTGAGGTAGCCGGAGCCCAATTTCCAAAAAGGTTCTGCAAACCCTCGGGTGTAGGAGATGTCCATGGGCGGCGATATTCACTTAACATAAGGTGAACCGTCTGCTCGTTTGGCAACTTTTCACATAAAAAAAGGAAATAAGTTTCATAGATGGATATGATGTATACCCCTAAATGTCGTTTAAAACCAATTAACTCAACCCAACCTCGCCCGATTGGGATAGAGTTGATAAATAATATAAATATATTTAATGCACAATAATATGAAAAAGATTGAAGAAATTCTTCGAGCAGTACAGTGTTTGCGAATCTGTATTTATTACACATTATACATGAAATGTTTTGGATCACGTAACAATATGAATAATGAATTTCAAAAAACCGCGTAATGAATATCAATCAGGTGTATATTGAAATTGCATGATTAATATAAATGGAATTAGAATAACTTCTCGAATTTAAGCCCGATTTTGATGTTAACTGTTTGGATTATGAAGGCAATAATTGTATTCTATTGGTGTTTAATTATACTTTATACTTGTATACGTTTTCTACGCTATTTGAAAAGGTTCGCATAGTTAATCAGTTTGTAATAACGTAGTGTTAGTCTAATAGTATAGTTGGCTTTGATACTGAATTATGAGTCATTGATGTTTCTCAAGATACAGTTCTTAAATTTATGTACATCTGTTTATGCTACCTTCGACGGAAGTTCCCTACTTGTCTGGGTGGTGCCCCATCGAGATCTATCGGAGCTATTTTCGCTTGAAAGTACAACTGCTACATCTATTAAAATGTTAATCTTATGCTTCAGTATACTCCCTACAACTTGGGATTCGTCCAATATTGTTCTCCGGTCGAATTTTTTAGAATACACTTCCTTTTGAAATTAGGTGGACTACCAAACGTTATACGTGTAATGTCAAAGTATGGGCACTGTTTGTTTAAAAGTTTCACAAATAAGAACCTAATGAATCAATATTTTGGCCATTTATTATAAAATTGATTCCCAAGATTTGTTAAGATCTTGACCTGTGTGTAGGAATTAGCCTTTAAGATGTGATTATACGACGCCTACAAATTTACACGCATTAACCTAAAGCGTTACGAAAGAAATAGAAACGAGATTTCAATCGTCTCGGCAATTCTTTTAACCGACAGCTTTAATTTTAACGATAGACAAAAGATATATTTTACACGGGTTTTGTCGAAATTGAAAGTGTGTCGGGTAATAATAATTAATGCGATCGATAAAGTTAGTGAAAGGGAATCGGCACGGGCCGAATTCGACTTTATGGAGTTAAAGCATCTAATGTTTCCTCAAAAGCGTGACGCTAAGGCGCCAACGGTATATATTTAATTTTAACTTACCTGGATCGTGGATCGTAGATTGATAAATAACTGATGAGATACACTTAATTATTGCAATATCGTAACTAATTATGGATTAGTGAATACCTTAACAGATAAATTATATTTTAAATTTTTTAACTCATTATTGACAAGTCAAAAAAAAAAGAGAACGTTCGTATTTCTTAAGATGAGCGTTAAATTCAGGGTTCAAACTCGAGTCCATAGGTTAGAATGGTCATTAATCTTTAATGACATCAACCATATAAAACACCATGAAATAGTAGACTATGCTTGTAGCCAGCATTTTTAAGCGCGTTTTAAATTATTATACAATAAATATAATACAAACAACACTATAAAATTCGGAACGCCTTTTACGTACGCCTTTGAATACGTAGAACTAATTTGGCGAGGTCGCGCCTTACTGTAAGGAAACATTCACAGCTGTTTCAGCGATCGTTATGATAACAACGTTGATGATTGTTTTCATTTCAACGATTCTTTAATCATTTTGTAAATTCCCAAGTTTTTTTATAAGATTCATACCGTCATGATCAATAACAACTTTACGGTGGTAGGGCCACGCAGCAGCCTCGGCTGTTGCACGAATGGGCAGGCCCGTCCGGGTAAGTACCACGACCTCACAGATTTTGGAAGTATGATTGTTTCGCGTTTCGTCTGGTGAGTGAGGTAGCCGGAGCCCAATTTTTTGTCAACACATCTGTAACCCCGGGTGTAGCAGATGTCCATTTTCACTTACCATAAGGTGAACCGTCTCGCTTGGCAACTTTACACATAAAAAAAAAAAAAAAAAAAAAAAAAAAACAACTATTTAGCGTCAGTCTGAAATCGTCGAAGTCTTTATCGAAGATAATTTAATTTAAGTCTTTAAGCCACTGTGTCTTATTTTTTTTCGTTGCAGCTGTAAACTGTACTAGCATAGATTTACTCTACGAATTCTATGCATTACAAATAGTGTAAAGTTGAAACGACCTCCATGTGAATTTGATAAATAGAATATTTTTAAGGAATTGTTAAGTTTTAAGGCAATGAAAAATTATAATAAAGTTCATTGGAGTGATGTAAGCTTTTGTGTATGAGCCACCCAATCATTAAATTTTCGACTGGAATCGCTTAGAAGAGTGGGCAAAGTGGCGCGCCTTGGGTGAACCTTATCCAATTATGTTATAAGTCAGCACCAATCAATCGTCTTTACTCGTGAAGCCGAGACGCGGGGTCTTCCGTCGTATAGTAACTGTATGCGCGGCTCCGAAATCTGTCATACTTTCGTTGGGCGGGGTTCCCACGGCCGGCCCGACGTAAACGCACCGATGCGTACGCGCTGCAACGCGCTTTGCGACTTTCTATTCCGCTGGCAAGGCTCGATTCACACCGAGTCGATAGAGGCCGCTCGTGCACCTCGTCGATGGTTAATTATATACATTCTTTATTGTTATAATAAGGCTTTGACGCGTTCGAAGAACTAACGATTAGCGCTCGATTTTAGTGCAGTTTATCTCTAAGGTGAAAATTTTGGGTACATATATTAGAATTAATTTTATAATACTGTTGATTTTGGACCTTTTGACGCTGCAATGCGATCTACTGGCAACTTGTTGTGAATTGAGCCTAAGGTGCCTGCGTCGGGCCCGCAGAGTTTTTGTGCCGGAAAAGCGGTGCACTAGAAAGTTTACTCGATGTTTGCGTGTGTGCGTATATGTCTGTGTTCGTGTTTAAGTATCCAGTTTGATATATAATGTCTATAGCGGTGGTGAGCTTTGAAAACTTTATTATTTACGGATGACATTTGTACTTGTTTTTGCAGGCGAAAATTATTTCAGTTCTGAATTGAAATAACGGTTTGGCATGATACACATTATCATTCCAAACCGTTATTTCCGTTATTTGAAAAAAGAATAAAATAATCTTTGTTGTACTGTATACTTCTGCTTGATTAGAATTTGAATGTGCTTAGGTAATCTAAGTTTTAATTCCAGTGCTGATAGACGTTCAATACATATGTTAGATCCCTTTAAAAATGTAGACTAGTAAGTTTTATGTAAAAAAGATAACTATTTTCTCCCATGTGAACGCATTTAAACGATTACAAATCCTCGACTGTTATACTAAGGCTAACAAAGAAATACGAAAGGTTTGAGCCGTATTATCCGAATGCATTTTTTGAAGCGCGCGTGAAATTTAGAAACTTATCGTAGCGCTGTGTCGACACAGCATTGCATAACGACGCAGTACATGGGTCGCTCTCGAACCCGACGGCACGATTTAGGCGAAAGGTGCAAGCCACTTTCACTCTTGACCCCATATGTTACTAGCGACAATCCCTTGTCTGGCATATGCACCGATCTTAGAGCCGCGTTGCTCTTTCCCAATAGGACGGCACATGCAGAAGACGAACAGTCACACATAACAATAATTTCGTTTTTTTGTAGTTTGAACGACACACGATATTCGGTTTCGATCTGGTTTCTAGGCGGCGACGATATCTACTATTATTTGCTGTTTAATTAATGTACATAATTTAATTTTATATGGCATCTTTTTTCATAGCGTTGTAAGAATGTGTAAAGAATATATAAGCGAAGCCATTAGACCGATTTCACGTCTCGTCTTTTATTGTTAGTCAGAGCCTGTACCATTTTGTCATCTGATTTCTCTTTATCTGTAACTACTCACATCGACTCGTATATTATACCTTAAAAGAGTATTTATTACACTATGATTACGATAAATGTAATATTTGGATTATAATGTGGCCTTGGAGGACTTGGTTATCATTAAAATTTAAAATTAAACGCATTAAGCACATAAAATAAATCTATACTACTAAAAATTAATGCTGTTTGCCCAGTTTACGTTTATTTATATTTTAAAAGTCATTCAACCGATTTCGACAAGATCCCGAGTTGCAGTCCATACAACTGTAAAGGTTTTTGAGTTAATAAAATAAAAAAAAGTAGTAAAAACGCTTGCCCGGCATTGGTTGTGGGTATGTCATTTTGTTATATAAAACAAGCTGACTCGGCAAACGTTGTTTTGCCACATAAATTATTTCTAGAGGAATGGAGAATCGGAACGCACACATAAAGTGTTTGACAGGTTTACACAGACATAGTTGACAGGTTGACAGGTACAGTTTGTATGGGAAAATAAAATTGTTGCTATTTCGATTTTTCATGCAATTTCTATATAATTTCTCATCGTTTAAAACTTCCCTAGATTGTCACAAATATTTCAAAACCAAAATTAGCCGGTCCAGCCGTTCGCGAGTTTTAGCGAGACTAACGAACAGCAATCCATTTTTATACATAAGATTAATTTACCCTTTTTTTAAAACTATCCACAAATTAGTCTTATCTAACAATGTGTACGATTCGTGTAAACACATTCAGGTGAAATCATTCATTCAGCTAAAGATTGAAATTAAAATGAGATTTAATTTCAATATTAAGCTTTGTTTTCGGATACATTGCTTCACTACGGGCTACATCCGTCCCATTTGTTTGGGAGGGAATGCATTTAATGACGCTGCGGGATCGTCGGAATGACGCCGCTCACGAATCTCGATTTCGGCTGACCTAGAATGCTAGTCAATGCTTTGGGTGGGGTCGCTTAACGAACTGACAGACTCGCATAACTCGCCAGGGGCGAGGATGAGGATTAAACCAGTAACAAAATATTTAGTTCAATCTTACTACAATTATCCATAACGCAGCATAACCTAAAATAATTATTAATGACGCAGCATAACATATAACAACAAATACTCAATTGTTATATAAATAAAAAAAAACGTGTGAGTACTTTGTACGCACATAAGAAGTTATATTTTTTCGTAAGCGTTCCTTGTGAGTAGGATATTAAATGCAATTGCTAACGTTTAATTAAATAACTTGGGACTACAGTGAAGAACTATTTGCTTTCTTTCTATTTTTTTCCAATTTCATTGGTTGCATACTTTTGATGCCATGGCGAGACTAATGAGATAATGATGGCCTATCATGGTACAGTCGTAATTGTTTAGTACCGTTGTAACTGTGGTTAGGTTTACACTATGATAAACATAAATCGTGATTTAACTTGAAGATTGCGTTCAATCGAAGTACACGATAAGGAATATGCTTTATAAGTTTTGTTGTTTGTCAAAGTCACAAAAATGGACTGTAAAATCCGCAGAATAAAAATGATAAAAAAGCGCGGAAGGTTATGTTATTTAACGTTCATACTAGACAAGAGTGCGAACTGAAAGATGGACGGACCAGTGTTGTACATTTGGAGCGATTACTGACAAGATATTTCGAGGTGTAGTTACTAGGTCACTAAGTTGGCTAGTTCTTGTCGAATTGTGGGTTAAGCGATTAACTGGTGTTGTATTTGGATGAAAGCAGGTTTAACTTTGTCTGTCTGCGTGATAATATTAATAAAGTATGCGAATAGGGCCAGCCATTCTTGAGTTATGCGCTTACCAACATTCATTTTTATTTATTAAGATAACCAACTCGAATAAACTTTTCAACATTCAATTTATTAAGGTATCCTATGATTGCGGGTTTTCCTGAGTTATTTAAAGTATCGTTTTATAAGTAAATAAACTATTAAATAAATTCGGTATTGTTGAAAATTCTACTGTTATTTTAATTATGAGTCACAGATCTCAGTTTAAACCTACCTAGGAACATGATAATATGACGTTTAAAGTTAATAATAATTTTCAGCAAAAACGGTGAGATTTATCCTATTTCGTGTATGATAACTTTTCCAACGCCGAATCGCAAGTATTTGAAAACATAAGATTAAGTTAAATAGTAAATAAACATTCCGTTTCCGAGCTTTGTGCTCGTACTAAACATAACATCATATACTTATGTGTGAGGCAAATAAAAGGTTTCATATTGCCTTCTTATTGAATACGCACCTCGTAAATCAATCGTTACTTTAGGTGACGGGGAACGTGACTTGGGATGACTCATTTCCGCGGGTCGGAGATTGAGTCGGCAGGAGTTTGGAGAGAACCTTTTTCTTGCACTTTTTATTGCCGTGTTTGTTTTTGTTATCTGTTTATTTTGGAATCATTTAAATGTAACTGCAACTATTGTGAATTTTTATATGATACGCATTTAGAAAGTTGGTAGTTCCAACTGAGATCCTACGGTGGCTTTATCTTTTCTAGATTTCCTTTAGACAGAACGGTGCCGTAGCAGTAATCGGAATTAGCGCATTCATTTCTTTTAAAAAGAAAGTATAAAAATAAATGTTAAGGTTTTATATCTCGGTTGACTCACGGTACTAACTCGCACAAAAGTGAATATAAACATCCGCTTTATTGATGCCCCCTTGCAGAAAACGCTCCGAAATATATCGAATCGGCATTTGAATTTGCACCGATGAACGTACGACTAAAACGACGGTTGTAATTTTTTAACAACCACCGTAGGTTTACGTAGCAAGCGGCCCCTATGGTTTTACGTAACCGCATCTGTGTATTGTTTTATCGTGCCTGCGTGTGTGACATCTGTACTTATGTATACGCTCGTGGGCGTGTGTGCGTAGCGGTGGTGCCGAGGCTCCACCGGGCCGAGTGACCGTTGTAGCACTTTGCGCAACTCGGTGCAACCGTCCCCCCCCCCTACCCCCCCTCCTCGTAACTAGTACGCCTGCGCGTGTACTGCATTCCGGAACCAGGTCGCAGCCGACCAGCCCAACGTGAGCTACTTCCAGCCGCGCTCCGTTCCAGTCGCGCAGGGGCGTCGGGAGCACAATAGAGATAGCAGAGCTCATCTAACACCGGCCGGTGTATACGTGCACGCATGCAAATGTACAGTTAGGCTGTGGCGGCGCTTGGGAATCAAATCGATACGGTATCGGCTCGGCTCCGGGCTGTTTTCCAGGGCGGGCCGGCGTGAGTTTGCACCGGGAAGGGAAGTCATGCGCTTTATTATTGATCGAGACTTTCAATTATACGCGTTTAAGCTGTTTAACTGCAATTAAATTAACATGGGTTATTTTTGCGTTGCCGGTTGCAGAAATCTAATATTGAGACGTATCTGGACGTTATTCAATGTTAAATAATATAGAATACTAATGTTTACATCCAAAAATACTTGACCATCATATCTTTTATATTTTATCAGTTAAAACTTTTAATATGTTTACGACAATGACATGCAGTAGGTACTGTCTGATTTTTACTTAGTTAAGTTTAATATGTTTGTTCAACATTTAAAAAAAAATTACCAAATTACTCGGCTTTACGCTACTATCAACTCTATGATAATTATTGGTAACCAGCTTTTTACATTTTTCAATAACGTGATAATGTGGTTATTTTAATAACTATTATAAATTAATTAAACATTAAAATAATCGACTATTACATAGTATTTGACCCGAATGGCGTTGTGGGTAGTGTACCTGCCTCCTGCGCCAGAGGGTGTGGGTTCCATCCCCACTACTGGAAAAATATTGTGTGATGAACATAGTGTTTTTCTAGTGTCTGGGTGTTTATATATATATATATCATATGTATTTATTTACAAAAGAAAAGTATGTTTAAGTATGTTTATCAGTTTTCTAATACCCATAGTTCAAGCTTTACTTAGTTTGGGATAGAGAAATGTTGTGTAAAAATGTGTCCAAAAAAAAATATACCTATTTAATCAGAATGAATCATTATTCTATTAACTAAAAGTTACTAAAAAAGGAAAACTATGCAATATTATAATCTTTCGTGAAAGGGAATAGAACATGGTTTACAATGATTAGAATATGTTATGAATGTAGAGCCGTGATAGCTCAGTGTCCGGGCGCTCGCCTTTAATTCAATATACTCGAGCAACCTGAGTTCGATCCCCGGTGCCGTCACCCATGAAGTTTTTAACTTTAAGTGCTGACTTATCACGTGCTCCGCGGTGAAGGAACACATCGTGAGGAAACCTGCATATTTTCGAAACAATAACAAAAAATATATATTTCGAAAATATGTGAAGTCCGCCAATCCGCAGTGGGGCCGCGTGGTGGACTATGCCCTGATACCCTCTGTGTAGTGGAGGCCTTTGCCCAGCAGTGGGACATGTATAGGCTGTTACTTTACTTTACTTTTAGAATATGTTTTAAAGTGTCGACATGGAAAGACACATTTTAATAGAAAAAGAAGACATCATTTACTTACAGTTAACAAATAACGCGCAAGTAGTATGATAAACACAGAATGTCATTAATGACATTAAAAACTATTACTACCACAGAGTAACAAAATTTTTTTATTTTATTCATTTGTGTTGTGTAAATTGTAATAACTAATGTTAGCTAAATGTAAATAATTAATTTTAACTACATTAAAACCGAGTTACACTAGTAACATTGATAAAGTCGCGCTAATGTTAACACATCGTAATGGAGTAACGTAATAATCGACGTGGGAACGGCGCCCAACAGTCACGGATATTAAAAATTCACGGCATTTGTTCTTGGCGCCCGCATCTGTCATTTACGGTTGTTCACCCAAATAAGGCATATATAATTATGTATATTATGTGCTTTTACTAAATTCATCTAACGTTATTAACAAACTAAATACATATTTAGTACAGTGTATAGAACAGTAATTAATCAGAATTGTATAGGTATGAAACCAATATAATTAGTTCTCGCCTTTGTGACTAATGAAAACATAAGTTTCACACACTACTGGAAAGTATAATTTCGTCATGTTATTACACCAATTAAGTGTTTGACATTTTTTTTATCTATAAAAAATGTTTATTCAAATCGTGATCTTTGAACCTAATAAGATGTTCCGCAACAATGTTTTGCAATATAAACAACGCAGTCACCAATTAGCACCTAAGTTGAAAACCCAAATTACTTTGAGGAATAATACTCACAATATAATTGGACTGGAAAACTGACCTTGAAATGTTGCTCGAGTAGAGCTTTGCTGTACGAATTACAAAGCACGAGTTGAATCTCTTCGTTCGAAGGCGTGGAATGGCAACAACAAAAGGACGGAGTTGGGCAGAGCTTCTAGTTGTCCGATAATGGAATGGGGATGGGAAAATGATGCAATCACTGTGCACACTCCGGAATGCAAACTATAGAACACCGAGAGGCTGGCTACTCTGAGCTTGAGCTCGAGACTGAGCAGATTAGTTCTTAAGAGATCAGGGCCTTGGTTGCACTTTTGTGACTGAAATACTGTATCATCAAACACAATCGAACTTGGGCTTTCTAAAGTGATAAATAAAATCTCATTGCGCCTTTGCAAGGACCCCCAACTTCTTTATACTACTTTTGCCCTGGACTCTATGAGCCGGGCAAATCTGATATTTGAGGAGAGGAACCCAGCATTTGAAGCCGGTCGGACACGCCTAGGAGACTGCCTGAATGGGAGATTCACAAGCTCTTCTGCAGCCTCTCTTTTGAACCAAATTAAATCATCATAAGTCCAAAACTCGATTGGTAACTTTTCAAAGTTGTGCTGTCATTCGTCTACCCTGGGTGCATACACACTAAGACCTAGTAGCTTATGAATATGCAGCAGGAAAAGAGTTGTGAAGAGAACAACCGCTTGGATGGTCCTTCACCCAACCAGTTAGGTCAGGGGATGTGTATGCTGGAAGTTTAGTTGCGAAACCCTTTTACACATTAAGGGTCTAAAGTTAGATCCCCTGATTTCGATGAAAGCCGTACTGGCGGTCGCTGACAAGACCGTTATGCTCTCGGTATGCGTAAACTCATTAAGTTTTTACTACGGAGGTATATGGTTCTTTTATGACCCTATTCGTATGATATAATGATAGCTACGAGTATACGTTTTTTCATCGACAAAACTTAGAAGCTACAAAGGTTACACATTCAATGGCCTTGGACTCTGTCAAATCGTTAAGCACTTTACAAGGAGTCATGATGACTTTAAATGTCGCTGTTGATCAATATTTATCATCGTTATAACGGCTTAGATTTTTAGTTGATCTTAGAAATAAAACAAATGATTGGTTTAAAAATGTATTTTAATATTCAGAACTAGAAACAAAAAACATAGTACATTGCTTTTGCAAGTCTATAAATGAGATAATCGAAGACTAAAACTTTGTTATATTAGCTATATAAGATAGATATATAGATATATTCAAGAATATTAAACATAAACGCAAAAATAAACCAGAAACCCGACATTTATTTTCTATTAAATAATCGTGACATATTTATTTAGGAATTACAACATGTTATGACACTTGGTGTAACTGTAAACATTTTAGTCAGTTCTATTACTTCTTCCGTCACCATGAAGCAGTATGGTAACCAAGCATCAACCCAGTTTATTATAAAAAAAAATGTGAGATTGATAGGATGATTTCGAATAAATCTGTGTTTCTATATGTTATGACCGACGACTTGAACTGTTTCAATCTTGCTACAGGGCAGGTATCCGAGGCGGCCCGGGCATGGACTCCCAGCAGCAGCAGTACTGTTTGAAATGGAACAGCTTCGGTTCGAACCTGGCCACATCGTTTGCGAACCTCTGGAATTCGGAGAGTCTCGCGGACGTCACGCTTTACTGCGAAGGTAAGCGACATTTTTCTTTCTCCTTCTCCTGCTTTTATCCAAAATAAAGTCGAAGCTGGGAAGAAGATCTATTCTATCTATTTACAAGATTAAATCTATCTAAAATTACATATTATTTAATAAACCTAATCCACGCGGCATGGTGCCAAGAACGCCAGCTGCATTTCCTCACTTAATAGTTGTGCTTAGCCTTTGAGCGAGGAAAGAACCAGCTCTCTTGTCACCAGCCGCGGCGTTATGGGAAAAAGTAAAGTCGCTGGGCAAAGGCCTCCGCCGTAGAGAGGGTATTTATTAGGTTATAGTCTACACTTCGCATGCAGGTATTCGAAATATTTTTTTTTGCATTATTTCCAAAATTTGCAAATGAACATTTATTCACGATTTTTTTTCTTCACGGCTTACCATGTCAGCTTAAAGTTTTTTTAACGCTTAAAGGTAACAATGTAATTGTCTGTCAGTTACATAACTAATTTTCTCTAAGGAAATCGAACCGAGGATCCCCGGCACCGACACTAGTAATTAGTAACTTAGTGAACTAAGTTATCGTAAGACTTATATGGTAGATACCATCGCGTGCCTCTACGAATTACAAACGATTGTTTTCGAAGTCATTTTAAAACTTACTTTTAAACTTTGTGTTTGCCTAATAATTTGATTGTATAATATGTGACGATTTAATTTTTTGAATTATTTGACTTGTTAGTACCGACGTTGTTTTAAAGAAAATATAAAACGAATATCTTTTGTTTGGGTCCGTAGAGTTTAGAACATTTAATTTTGGATCAAGTTGGATGACGAAATGCATATTTTGCGGTAAGACTGATATTGCGTAAAGGGGATTGGACGATCAATCAATTTCTGAAAAACTCACTGCGTTATTAGGAAGCGTTCGTAACGCGAATGATGGATAACCTTAAAACATTAGTACTATTAGAGTTACTACGAAACGTCATCGTATCTGATTGTGATAGAAAATGGCGCTTACAGCTATCAGCTCTGATAATGAAGGCTTATCTTAGATATGGCTAGAAAAATTGATAATATTCACATGTGATTCATAAAATGGGTGGAGCATGAAGAAATCTGATGGCGCTTTTGTGAAATAATATCGCAATGTTACCTCAACTGTTTTTTGGTTACGTAAATGAATGCACCGACGACTCTTCTTAAACAGGACGTATTTTAGAATCGTAACAAAACTTGTAAATGTCATCGGCCTCTGCAAACCGTCGTCACGTGCTAAATGAATTAAATACACCTTAATCATATATCTCAAAGTATCTCAATGAATGTTCTCAGCGTCTTACTGTGGCAGGGCCATGCAGAATTTTCTGTCGTATAAATAGGCAAGCTCGGTCGGGGAAGACTAGGGTTTTACGGAGGACCGAGGTTTACTGGTGAGTGAGGTAACCGGACCTCTTTATTATGTAATTTGTTTTTTGTATCGTGCCTATCACCTAATACTTTATTGAATCAAGTAAATTGTTCATTGAAAAATTATATTGAGTTTGTGGAGATATGTAGAATTTTTATATAAAAACAATATTAACCCTTTCGCAGAGAAGTCTATTTTCATAATCACTTAAATTAGCTTTGCTCCGAATCTATGTATGAATATCTCTTTGTGTACTTCACACTATTTTTTAATGCTTGTTTTAAATGCATGCATTTACAAGGCCATTTGCTAAATTCAACAGGCAATGCCAAGAGTAACTTGAATGCTCTATGCTAATTACGGAATTTAAATAATGCGCTCACAATTTAGCGAGCGTGTGACCGTTTAGGCTGGTTGAGGATAGGATGGGGTGATGTTCTTACTGACGTTTTTGAGAGAAATACAGGCTTGGATACACTGTTGTGTGGTTAAACAAGTAATTGTTTTTATTTACCTTTAAAAACTATGTAAACAGCGTCTAGAAACATTAAAACATATAATTATTTATATTATCGTGACAATTAAATAGTTTGTTATATCATTTTTAAAAGAACGTCTCCCGAAACATAAATTCTGTATCTCGACCCTCAAGTCACTTTAATGATTACGTTATTCACGCAGTCATTGTAAAATACTTTTCTATTTATCTATGTATTAAATGTTTCCTAAGAGCTTATGCTTAATAAATTTTAGTAGTTCACGACTATACGTTTTGCGACGCAAATCACGGGCGAGGTTTATCGATTTTCCCGGCCCGATGCGAGACGTAGGGAAGTATCGCTTGCGAAATATCACGTGCACCGGTCGCCTCGGCCTTAAACTGGCCTCGTGTGTGGTTAGCAACTTCAAGCATGTTGTATGAATGAACAGCCCACTACACTATGCCTCCATGTGCTATTGTGTGGTCAATTTATAGTCTACTCGTCTTTAACCGCTGCTCCTCAACGTACGATGTGATAGAACTTTACGATAGCAACTGTTTAATGATACCTACGATAGGTATCATTAAACCGTTTCTTATTTCTTCTTTTTCTTTTATTTTATTAAATACATTTCCCTTACTTTAGGATAACATTACATACAGACATACAAACATAAATTTCATGTGGACATACGCCCATATACGAAACAACTATCTATGGCCAACAAAAATAGTTCTTCCGTGTGGGGTTCGAACCAGCATCCCATGACGCCGAAGCCAATACCTTGGCAACTGCGACACCTACGATATTAAATTTAAACAAATGTTAACCTGAAGCTCGAAAGCTATCTTATTTCTAATTTTTTTATTAACCCTCTCTGCTGGTGTACAGGTAGACCAACTGTCGCGTTTGTAATATTCATAAGTGCGATACACCAACGGCTACTCGCATTTTATGCAAGTCAATTGAGGTCGTATGTAAATTGTGAGGGTAGTTTACAATAACAAGGATGTAGAGGATGTTGAAAAGAAAACTTTGTTACGCTATAATAGCTTTAATGGCGACGTTCAACACAAGGTGACAAGCAAACTAGATGACTCCGTGGCGCATTGATGGTATTTATTGGCTTAGACGCCGTCGGTCGTGTGTTCGATTCCCACTCGAGACAATATTATGTATGCATGCAAATATTGTCAATAATATATTATTGACAATATTTGCATGACTGGCAATGTTTTTATTGTATATATGACCCACATGTAATTGATAATTTTTTCATGTCTGGGTGTTTGTCCACGTACAACTTAGGTACGTAAAACGTCCTTACAACATAAGATGATGTTATCGTACAGTAAGTGCAATGCTTTCGAAAGGAAGACTGCAATAGACATTTCTAGATCGCAGTGGTAGTTGGGAATAACTACCCAACTCCTTACACACATAATACAAATACAACAAGCAAACTATTTATTCGTTATAAACATATTATATAACTAGCACTACGCCCGTGACTTCGTGCCCGAAAATTGTGATAGCTCAGCTAATTTGCATGATATAAATATAATTTACTAGCGACCGGCCCTGGCTTCGCACGGGTGCAATGTATTATACACTAGCTGCTGCCCGCGACTACGTCTGCGTAGAATAGGCTGAAGGCATAACATTAAGACAGAAAGACAGATATACATAAAATATGTATATAAATTATAGCCTATGTCTTATTCTGATGTATAAGCTATAGTATTGTAAAGTTTCATTAAAATTCATTCAGTAGTATTTGCGTGAAAGAGTAACAAACATACATCCATACATACAAACTTTCGCATTTATAATGTTAGTAAGGATATAAACCTTCCTCTTGAATCACTCTATCTAGTAAAAAAAAAACGCATCAAGTTCCGTTGCGTACTTTTAAAGATCTAAGCATACATAGGGACAGCGGGACACAAACAGCGGGATGGCTTATTTTTATACTATGTACTGATTTCACCGGCGTAGTCGTAAAATATATCGATATATTTTAAACTTATATCGATATAGATATAGGGTTAAAATATATCTTATTTGTGAGTGATATAGAACACTAATTTATATATCGTCAATAGTTTTCGCAGTGCACGCAAAATAATGTCCTGTATAGGGAACATTTTGAAACATTGGGTAACATTGTTTCATTTTAGGTAGTTTTAAAAAAATATATAATATGTAAAAATTTAAAGTTATTTATAGTGCTAATCTCTACACTTAAGATTAAACATTAAACTAGTAGAAAAAGAACGAAAAGATTATCGCCGCTGTGAGAATCGAACCCACGTCTTCGGCGTTCGCGGCCTGACGCTTTAGCCACTAAGCTAAACGGCCGATTGCCACACCGACGAAAATCTTAACGTCTTTTATCGATATTGTTTTCTAGCATTCGTTTTCCTAGTTGTTACACTTATAAAGTATATATAGTGTAGCTACTATCTAAATTTACTGTTAGCGGTATACTCGAAGGAAATTATAGGTAAAATTGTATAACTACATAATAGCTTCACGCTTTGGTGACCTATTTCATTAAGACCTCGCGTGTCCCTTCAAGCTTGCTTAATTTTAGATGAGATATCACACGATCGATACAACACATGCAAGTTCAGTTTCTACAGTATTAACTAACTACCCGCTGCCCGCGACTACGTCCGTGTAGAATAAGCTGAAGGTGTAACATTAAGACAGACAGATATACATAAAATATGTATATATAAATTATAGCCTATGTTTTATTCTGATGTATAAGTTTTATTATTGTAAAGTTTCATTAAAATCCATTCAGCAGTATTTGCGTGAAAGAGTAACAAGCATCCAACCATCCATACAAACTTTCGCCTTTATAATATTAGTAAAGATTAGTAAGGACTTGTGGACTTACGACGCTTCGATCTTTAATAGTAACCAGAATCAGGATAGTGAGAAAACGATTTACCTTGCTTTTTTAATCCTTTTTATTAAAGAGTAATGTAATTTTGTAAATTCATAAATTACCAAATATGGTAATCGATATACCTATCAATTTCAAATATTAAAATCTATGTTTTCCCAATTTGTATTTGTTTCAGCCGTCACCATTATAATGTGGGGCAAGATATCGTCAGACTAAACTTTTA